CCGGGGGGGGCTGGGGGGGCCTTCTCCTCTGCCGCCCTCCCTTGCAGGGTCCCCCGCTTCGGGGTGAGCCGCTGTGCCCCAGCCCCTCCAGGGGGGCAGCGGTGGGCCTGAGCGGTGTCGGAGCCGCTCCGGAGCTCGGGTTTTTCCCTGGGATTCCTCAAGGATCTTGTCTCTCTCTGTGGTGGCTTTGGAAATCTCGGCTGAAAGGTGTTTGTGGCTCTGACAATGCTGGTGAAAGGCAGCTTTTGCGCTTTGCCCGCGGTGCTCTCAGTTTGAGGTGGATCTGTACCAAAACGAGTCAGCCTGCCAGACTCCCCTGGACCGGCAGTACCATGAGGAGATCCTGAAACTGGAGAGGGCTGGAGGTCGGAAGAACTGTCGCATCTTCACCTACACGGATCATGACCGATTCACCAACCTAGAGGAGGTACGGGCTCTTAGTTACGCATCATCTCTACAGCAGCGTCTGTCAAAACCGCCAGGCCTGCTGCGGAGGGAGCATTGTCAGTTCTTGGCCATGCAGAAGCAAGCCAGGTATGCTGTGTGCAGGAGAACCTATTGCTTCTGCAAAGCAGCTTCACCTGGTGCCCCAGACCTGGGATGAGCTCTTCCTGTTTCAGAACGACGGTCAGGGGCAGCTCGGAGGGACTTGGCTTTGTAGCATTGCTCTGTGGGTAACTTGTTGGGTGGAGTTTAGCTGTACTTTGCCACAAGAACAGCAAATGAGATCTACGGTCTTGTAGCAGTTTGTCCTTGCATGTGGGTGCGTACATACCTGTTCTGTCCTCCAAGAGCGGAGCTGTGTTTGGGAAAGGTGGCCTGTTATAATTAAGCTAGTTCCCGTCTGTTTCCCTCTTCCAGCACTGCCAGAAGGTAACCGACTCGGATCATGAGGTGCCATCATATCTGGCAGAGAGGATGGCCAACGTGAGGAGGAGAAGACAAGACCGTAGGCCAATGTGAGTGCAAACTGGGGCTCGGAGCTTCCTAATGGAGGTTTCCCTGCTGCGGAGCAGCCTGGTCCATGGAGGTTGGTGGCTTGAGCTGTGTCGCACTTGGAACCCGGCAGTTTGACTCTTCGTCGGGGCGGGTTCAGTGCTGCCTGTGCCAGGCTGCTGAGGTGAGCCATGACTTGTCCTCTTCTGTTGTTGACAGAGAAGCAAGTTCTCTGAAGTCAAAAATCATCACCTGGGAACCCTCAGAAGAATTTATAAAGAACAGTCATGTGATTAACACTCCTGTCCAGACCATGTACATCATGGGGGACTTGGGACCTTACGGGAAGTAAGTAAAATCCTGAAGTGATCTTAATTTCCCAGAAGGAAACCCATCTTCCCTCCTTACTCAAATCTCCTGTTTTTTTCATTAGTTAAGGGGAGAGAATTCCAAGAGCTCAGTAACTCGGGCTGCTCTTTCTTTCTGCCTCTTTCCTCGGTTGGGAGGTAACTGAGTGTATCTCTCCAAAAGGCTTCTTAAACTAATGTAGGAAACCATGGGTGTGTTTGTTCCCTTCTGAACCCCCGTGTGCCTTTACCAGCTCTGCTGTTCCAGAGCAAGAGAGCGTCCGTGTTCTCTATTTAGAATGTGTTTCTTGATGTCTTCTCTTAGGCTTGGTCACAGGGAGTATGAACATGTTCTTTGTACAATCAAGGTGGACGGCAATGGGGTGATCACGGTGAAGCCTGACTTTACTGGCACCAAAGGAGCCTACCGGTGAGTGGGGCAGGGCCGGTACCTCTCGTGGGACTGATGCAGAGGGCTGAAATGGCTGTTTGCTGGTCACCCTTCAGGCAGCGGAGCAGCACGTAAATTGAGGGATATTTTTTAGTTTTATTCCAGAGATTTCTAAGACAAGGTTATTGTGTACTTGTGCTTGGTGTCACTGCATGTGTGGGGCTTTGGTGCTGGTCCCTAGGGATACAGGTTACGCACGTGCTGGACACGAGTCTCCCTTTTTGAGTCGTTGATGCTGGCAGGCACTGGGGAGCGAGGAGAGGGCCGTTCGTGCCCTTGTGTTACCGCAGCGGCCTGGTGGAGGGGGGCCGCTGTGTCGGGATGGCCCAGCTGATGCTGTTGCTGCCTGTGCCTGTGCTCTGTGTAATGGGGAGTTTCGCCCGTTGTTTTGGGGCTCTGCAGGATCGAGCTGGATGGAGAGAAGCGAGAGGTGTGGAAATACACCATCGAGAATGCGTCTGTCCAGGTGCAGCCAGAGGACGAGGAACGTGAGCAGCGTGTGTTCAGAGACGTAAGGACCGGCCTCCGCTGATCACTGACTAGTTCTCCTGGTTTGACAGAGGGAGCTCAGGCCCTCAGGCAGATGTAATTGGTAGGGCCGTAGACACCTCAAGTTGACAAAATGATTGTCGCTGGCGGTGAGTCTCATTGTGCCCAGCAATTTGAGAACTCCAACGAATACTCCCTGACCGCTTCATTCCTTACGCTAGGTAGAGGCCTCGGCCGGTATTAGGTGTGTCGGCCTCTGACTGCGGTGATCTATGTAGTGAGAGCTGATGCAAGAAACCACCTGAATTCCTGCCTTTCTAATGTCACCTGCCAGTGGTTTTCCGTCTCTTTTGAGCAGTGGGCAAACCCTTTCCTTGGTCTTCCTCTGGCTGCCTGTATACTTATTGAATGGTTTCTTATTATGAATGTCCCAGGATATTTGGATCTCATTTTCTGTCTTGATCTTTCTGAATTGCCTTTTTGGCTGTGGCAGTTTATAAAGGTACTTAATGTTTTAGTTCTTCGGTTGTACGTTTCCTTATTCTTTTTGTGATCAATAAGGAAATCATGATTTTGCCACGCTGATCTCATCTGTTGGTTTCATTGGAATCGTTTATGCCTGTGTTTTTAACATGTCATTGAAGATCTGATTCTTCAGAGCTGCTTTTTCACTTAGATTGGCCTTTGACAAGGTCTTCTCTGAAGCTGAAGTTCCATGCAGTGTTAGCAGTTATGCATCTTTGTTCTGTTAGATTCTTATATTCCCTGTATCGGCTATAACAGTTAAAAAACCCTGTGTGCTAAGCCTGTCAACAATTTAAATTGGTTTTAAGTTATATCCCTTACAATTTTTTCAGTAAGTAAAAACATATATAATCAGAAAGACCCTTTTTCTAATCCGCTTGTTCTGTGTTTTCAGCTGTACGGTCGGCACAGGGAATACCTCAGCGGCCTCGTAGGCTCAGAATTTGAAATGGTGAGTACCAGCGGCACTCGGCAGGGACCTGCTGCCTTTGGAGGCTGTCGACCTGGTTAGCATGGCTGCCGCTTGTACCCCAGAGACTGTCTCATTCTGGGGGTCTGTTGGCAGCTTTTACCTCGTGGCTTCTAACAGAAAATTGGGTCAAAAGGGACCCAATGTGGGGCCTGCAGAGATCCATCTCCAGAGATGCAGATCTGTCCGACCAGCAGCAGAGCGTGCTGAACGCTGCAGTCTCTGTGAGACTGCATGCATTGTCTGACGGCCTTTGATTATAATACTTTAAGAAGGAAGGAGGGTTTATATCTTTTGGCATAGTGATTGCTGTTAACTTCTTGAATGTCCAACACATCTATGTGCCGCTTTGTTCAAGTAAACAGCCCCTCCCACCCCCAAACTCACGCACAGTTTCCCTTCTCACTGAATTACCCAGACCGTAATCTTTTTTGCTCAAATCTTGTTTGCCAAAGTGTGAAAGTTGTTGTACTTCAATAGAGTGTCTCAGCTTGTCCTGTGCTTCCCCCTGCTCCCCCCACCTTGGGCAAGTGCCGGAACACTAGAGGGAGAAACAGGACTGTGATTTCTGCAAGTGACTTCTCGCAACATTTTATATCCATCTTGAAGTCTCTAAGAGACTGGTTTACGGAATAGTAAATTCCTGCAGTCTAGGAATTTGGTCTCTCTAGAGAGCGTCTCTCTGGAGGGACTGTTCACTTCTGGAAAGTGATGGGAGAAGTCATGACGCCTACCTGGCCCGCGGAGTGAATCATTCATGTACAAACATCTGTGAAGTACCTGTGTGAGACCCTGGTGGGAGGGGATTGTGTGAGGTTCCACCAGCGGCCATTGCGCTCTTTGTCTTGTTTGTCTGCTCATTCGTACAGACTCTTCCTGGTGCTCTGCGGCTTTTTGTGAATGGAGAAATAGGTGAGTCCTTATTTCAAACAGTAACAAACAGGGGCAAATCTGGGTCTGCTGGGATGGCTGAGGCTATGGAGGGTCCAAGGGTTCTTGGATCGCAGGCCGGTCCAGAGTAGGTGCTTCTCTCCCTAGAATCCTTTACTTCCTCCTCCTCCTCCCCTGTTTTTGCGGACTAAGCCCTTGAGTGGCCTTTACAGATTGGAGGTTACAAATACTGCGGCTGTTCTAGGAAGACATACAGATCTGAAAAAAGGAGAGCAGATTGGGAAGTTAATAGAGATTATAGCAAAGGAAGCAATTAAATGTGTGACCTTCCTGATCTGGTTAGTGATATGGGGACAGGGCTAGTCTAGAGAAGGAATCTTCTCTGAGGGTCGTATTCTGTTACTTTGAAGACCCTGGCTTTTCCCAGCTTCCAGCAGGAACTGGTTGTCGCTGAGGTTATTGGTGCTGGCTCTCCCCAAAGTCTACAGTGAGTACTAGAGGAGTTTGTGTGGAAGCGAGCAGCCCACGTTCATTCTCTCTTCTCAGTTTCAGCTCAAGGCTATGAGTATGACAACCTTTATGTTCACTTCTTCGTGGAGCTGCCTAACCGTAAGTATTCACGTTTCCCGCCGTATTGCAGCATTTTGAGGAGCGAAGCATGCTTTGGCTGGTCCATCAGATCAGCTCTGCTGGAAGTAAAAGTTAATGTCGGGGCTGGGATCTAGTCAGAGGTCTTCAGAGCTAGAATTGCAGAACTCAGTTGTTTGAACTAAACTCATGTCTGGGAGAAAGTAGCATCTTCCCCTCTCATCTCTTCCAAATTAGGCTGGGACGTAGAGGTCCCTTGGCTTCTCAGCCAGGGGTGATGGTGTCCAGCAGGCTGCCCAGAGTTCATTCCTTGTACTGCGGAGAGTGGCCTTCCGGTCTTCCCCATCTCAGCAGTGACCTTGTCTGATTTCAGTGCTCACCGTCATGTTCTCATGTTTTATCATAGAATCATAGAATCGTTAAGGTTGGAAAAGACCCTTAAGATCATTGAGTCCAACCGTTAACCTGTCACGGCCAAGTCCATCTATACCATGTCCTCAAGCACCACGTCTATCCGTCCTTTAAATACCTCCAGGGATGGAGACTCAACCACTTCCCTGGGCAGCCTGTGCCAATGCCTGACCACCCTTTTGGTGAAGAAGTTTTTCCTAATATCCAACCTAAACTTCCCCTGGCGCAGCTTGAGGCCGTTCCCTCTCGTCCTGTCACTTGTTACTGGGGAGAAGAGACCGACCCCCACCTCGCTACAGCCTCCTTTAGAAGAGACCCCCCCACCTCGCTACAGCCTCCTTTCAGGTAGCTGTAGAGAGCAATAAGGGCTTCCCTCAGTCTCCTCTTCTCCAGACTAAACAACCCCAGCTCCCTCAGCCGCTCCTCATAAGACTTGTGCTCCAGCCCCTGCCCCAGCCTCGCTGCCCTTCTCTGTTTTGTGCTGACACTAACATATTAATTTTTGACTGATAAATAAGGTTCCCAGCACTAACATCCCGCTGCATGTTTAATTCCCTTCAAGCTATGGCTGTGGCTCCCCTCTCTGGTTATACCCCGATGTTTGCCCGAGAGGTACCACTTCTGCTACTCAGTACATTTAGATAAGGTTCTGCTTTTCTCTTAAGGTGGAGTTGGTGCTTTTCATCGACAGTTCAGGGCGTTGTGGGGAGCAGCCATTGCCTGGAACAAGATGGGGTGGGACACACCTAGGGAAATTCAGTGTGGGTGATGTTATCTGTTATCCATGTCATCTGGGACTGATATTCTCCTTTGAGCAGCTCTGGTTTGAGTGCTCCCTCTCACCCAAAGCATTCACTGCTGTGCTCACATTCTCCTCTTCTCCCAGAGTGGTCGAGCCCCGCGTCCCAGCAGCTATCAGGGGTGACGCAGACCTGTGCCACCAAGACAGTGGGCTGGGTAAGGATGCTTTCAGAGCTGCAGAGCCGTTTGAGCAGGCATTCTCTGAAGTGGAGCACATGTAACAAGCTACAGATCTATTCAGCAAAGGTCCTGACTTGAGAGCTCCTTTCAAGGGCAGGGCGTGTTTGGGATTCTCCTCCTTCTAGTTATACTTGCCATTTTTCGGGGTGCCACTGTGTCCAAGTGAAACTAGACCAAATAAAACTGCTTCAAAGCAGTTTCTGGAACCTCACTTTTTTCTTCCTTCTAGCTGATTAATTGCCTTTGGAGCTTTGATTTTTGTGTTCTCGAATGCTCAGGGTTAACGAAGCATTGTTCTGGCTTGCCTGGGGCAGG